CGTCGAAGGCGATGCCACATCCAAAACTGGTTCCAAAGTCACCACCACCGACATTGAGGCTTGTGTCAAAGGTCAAGCCGGCGCCGAAGAACATCCTGGAAGAGGAGACGGAATCCGACAATCATCCTGGTGACCGACCTGCACTTCCAAGGCGACCAGCGATGCGGCCAACTCTCACATCTAACGATCGGTGGTATGTACCAGGTATTCTGGCTGAAGGCCAGATTCAATGACTATTGGCGGCCAACGCTTCAAGGTGAAGGCCCTCACGCAGAGAAACAATACATGGACTTCATCAAGAAGGTCTACAGCATTTGCTGCTACACCAATGCTCAGCCAGAAGTTTATGGAACCGACATCATTCCGATGGTATGTCACAACAGCTACATTGATCTCGAGAAGACCGTCCAGAATGTTGAACAGGTTTGCAAACACTTCAACATGGATCCATCCAAGGCAAAACAGATCACCGACCTCATCCTCTGGCGAATCGAGAGAATGAGCAGATTGTTTTCCGGATGTCTTCGACATGATCCAAGGCATGGCATCCATAAAGAATGCAAACGACAAGTGGACATGGGTTCTGATGGATCCGCTGAGCTCTACGATGCATTGACCTGCGTTACACATGCCAGGAATTTCATTGGAAACAAGCCAGGACTTCTCTTGATGGCTATGTTCCCGAACTATGGAAAGTCACGTTTCGAGATTGCGTTCGTGTGTCCATCCGTGGACGGGCCACACAAGGAGCGCAAGGCAAGGGGAGAAATTGTTCCAAGAAATCGATGGATCGACAAACTCACCACGAGATCCGCATACGATGCACTCCGGCCTAATGGCAAGGCATTCCTCAATGATCCCGACTTGGAGTTCTACGTGAGATGCAACAGCGGTCACACACGACAAGTCGATCTACAAGCTTTTGGACGACCCCTGTACTCCGAGCAGCAGAGTGAGCCTCGCCAAGAAGAACCGGACTATGACCTTCCAACGCAATCCATTCCTCCAAGTCCGCATCCGTCAAGATCAGATGCGCCCCATGAAGACGAAGGCGCAGCTCAGGCAAAATACAGAATGCGAAGGCCGGCACCACCATCCATTGAAGAAGAAAGAAAGATCAAGCCGTTCGCGAAGAAGCCCATCACTTTCATGTTCCATGCAACCAATGGAAATCAACTCATCAGCATCATAGAAAACGGGCTCAGATCTGGGAAATCCCAGTCAAACTTTTCGGGGAGAACGCACGTCCACATGGCATGCATCGACAACGTTATCCTCGACGATGACGAGTCAGAAGCAGCACTCACACATGTGCCAGCAGGAAGAGATGCACTGTTGACCCTTGCATTCCTCAAGGACCAGGACTGCGTCCGACTCTCCGAAGAGCGAACAACGCTGACAGAACAGACCATCGAGGCGAAGAATATTGTTGCAGCATATGAACCTGATGGTAGCACCATGATGAGCAACAACTGGATCATGAAGAAGCTTCTCAGTCGTGAAGATGTTGAGATGTACGACACCAAGATCCGTGAATTCGCCGATGCTTTCTTCAGCCATGTAAATTCCGATAAGCGCAGCAAGGAAAAAGATACTTCCTCAGAGACCAAGAAGCGACGGCGCTCCACCGATCAAGACGAAGTCTCCGGGGAGAGATCCGTCAAACCAAAGGTCACCATGGAGAATCGCAATTCCGGGAACTTAGACGAGTTCATCCAGGAACTCAAGGAAACCTACCTCGAAATAGAAATGAGCAAGAAGGACGCCGAGGAAGAGCTCGTGGAAACCAAAAAGAACTTCCTCCGCTGCATGGAGAAGTACAACAAGGATCCAAGGAGAGCTCATCCAAAATTGACAGAATGCGAGAGAGCCTCATTGGCACACGTCGATCCTGATGTCAATCTCGGAGAAGAAGAGTTCTACTTCCGCCATCGAGGAGAATGTCCCACCATGGACGAGTACAGGAATGCACAGCCAATATCCGGATATCCGATTAAGCTTCCACTTGGATTGAAGAAGCTTAGGTCACATGACAACCCGGAAATCATCCGAGCATTTGCCGATATCCTGGGATCGCTGATGCAGCCGACCGACCGTCCCCCTGTGGACCATCTCAAGACGCATGAGTTCACCTCCTCCCTGACGATCAACATGCTTACTATGAACCATGGAAACCTCACGAGGAACCCAAAGCTAGACGGCAGGGAGGTGTACAACATGGCGATGAAGGAAGATGATGATGCAGAACAGCGCACACATCTTATGCCTCAATGAAGCAGACGCATTCCTCAGTCCTCAAGATGATAAATCCAGAGAACTCATCAAGACGTTCATCCGATTCGGGTACAAGGGCATCGTTATCAAGCAATGGCCATCCAGACCAATTGCATGCTTTGTTCACGGCGGACCTTCCGCAAGAGTGGAACTATTGGCAAGACACATTTCCACAAAGAGTCAGAGTTGGGGAACCACATTCGGGATGTTCAGATGTTTCTTCGGAACCGAGGAAAATTGCACTGATCCTGAATACGACATTCCGACCTCGGCCTGTTTGGCAACTACGGGACCATCCATGTTTACTGAGTCCAAGAAGTACATCGGACCGAGCTTGCCAACACGCACCACTGTCCAAGGACACGGACGTAACAAAGAGATTGTCGTTCTCCGCATCGAGCAGAGTGATGAGTGTCGTGGTATGCTCCCAAAATCATTCAACAAATCACTCCTCGAGTTTGACAGCCGCCACGTAACGAGGGCAGACCTCCCGTTTGCTACCATTGGAGTTTTCCAGCAGCACGGGAAGATTTTCAGAACGAAATCCTGCTACTCGTGGCATTGTACCAATGTGACGCGATCACTGGAGACGCCAACAAATCCGCGAATACCTACAGCAGACTCCAGCACGTCTTCAATCCGGCCATGGTCTCATGAATATCCTCATGAAGGCATATCAGAGATTGTGGAATGAGACGGAGAATCTGCCACTCGTGGACAGACTGGAGTATGCGATGGAGACTTCATGCACCATAAAATCCATTGTTCGTCATCACTTATACAGTATACATGAAGACTGGATCAGGGTATGACCGAACATTCTCAGATGTGCTGATGACATTCGTGTTTGGATGGGGCAAAACGAATATCCAGCAGGTTTTCCGGAAGGAAGAGATGAACGCCATGAGAGATGAACAACTGGAAGCCATGCGGAACGATCCAACGCCTGCCATTTTCGACTGTCAGGTCTCATCCGCGGAACGCTTCAAGCACGTGAACAACGATATGTTCATGAATGGCTCACAAGATTCCGACTCGCGCAGTCCGCTGATGGTATATATCCGCAGCAGATCTGCCGCCAGGCAACGCAACTTTGAGAGATCCAAGGAGCACCTCAAGAAGAAGCAATCCTGGACTCAGCAAGAACACAAAGACTACAACAAGCAGTACTGGGGGCAATCCAATCGGTGGTACCGCTGATCGCTTGATGAAGCAGCCACCTTTGGCACTCATTCGACCGACCGAGAAGACTCACACGATCAGCACTAAGAACTACAACCAGATTGATCCTCGCCGCCAACAAGACTATTCCACATTCGTCCCGCATGTACATAGCGTTGTGCATCATCTTTCGATACATCTAGGTATCTCACAGAATCAGTACAGACTGTTTTCCATTTTGCTCACATGACAAATCATCCGCGCCAAAATTGGATGAATCATTGTAACAATATATGGCTACGGCCGACACTTTCAAGTATGGCTACGGCAAGTAAGGCCAAGAAACCAATCATACACTTTCGGTGTGAAAGGTCAAAAGAAATTTGTGTCTGTTTTGTGTTCCTTTTGGTTACACCCATTGACCTTTGCGCACACTCCGCTGACATGTTTGGCTCAAGGCCCTTCACGTCATTTGTACAGTGATAAAAAGGCTTTTCACAGTCAACACCACAAGCCATCAGGGACAATCCATCCTCCAATCCTCCATCTCCGGGACCAAATCAACAACCTCCACCACCACAGGGTACCAGTTCCCTTCTGGGCCTCACCCCCCCTTCGCTGGGGTGGGGTGGTGGGGTGGTGGGGTGGTGGGGTGGTGGGGTGGTGTGGTGGTGTGGTGGGGTGGTGGGTGGTTGGTGTGGTTCGGTTCAGGGTTGGTTTGTGGTGGGTTTCGGGTGGGTTGGGGTTTGGGTTGATTATGGTTAGGGTTGGGGTTAAGGAGGGGTTGCAGGGTGGTTTGGTTTAGGGTAGGATGTTGCGAGAGGTGCTGGGGTGTTGGTTCACGGGGTGAAAGGGGGAGTCTGGGACCGAAGCTGCAGCGCTCACACGGTACTGGACAGCATCCCCAGCATTGCCAGCTCATCCGCAAGATGCAAATGATGCGTGGGAGTGGGGGGGACCATACCTTTGTGGGGCGGGGGGGGGTCTGTGGCCCAGGGACTGGTACACACACACACACACACACACACATATATATATATATATATATATTTTAACGCCTCCGGCTCAGGCCGCCGACGTTACAGGCCTGCTTTCTTATTTGTGTCCCTTTGGAATTGTCCTCTTGCCCTTCCCCTGCCTCAAAGTTCTTCCTTGAAGAGATGCCCTTACGCAATCATAGTGCTTGGTTGCACATTGGCTGCCAAATGGGAGGCTTTTGACAGATGCAGACCGTGGGCCTGAAAAGTGTGTGTTCTGGCAGATGCCGGTTTTGGTGACAAAACATTTTTTTGGGAGGTACCATATATATATATATATACACACATATATATTTATATGTATATGCCGCTCCCTCCCCTTCACCTCTTGTTTGGCGGAGCCTTGCTAACTATGCCTAATCAAGCAAAAAGACTGCTACTTACAGCATTTTGTTTTCTCCGCACTATGAACGGACAAAAAGCAAAACAACCCGAAGAAGTCCCGAACATCCTTTCAGAATTTCAGTCTCTCAGGCCCTCGGCGCAGTTCTTTGTTTCATTCGGTTTGGCTTCAAGAGTGATCCGTAGGAGCCGCTTCTTCTCGAGGGCCCGGCAGCCCAAGCTAGACAGACTTCGCTTGAGAGCCGGCTTTTCCGTTGAAGCACGCATCGGTGATTCTTTTGTCCATTCCCCTTGCCGTCTCCGTTTGCAAGGACCGTGAGCGGAGCTCCTGGTCGCCAGTGTGGCCGTCCTACAACTCGCCACCCATGCGCTCGCCAGAGAGGCAGCAGGCAATGGTCCGAATTCGATTCCGAACTCGCAATTACAAGTCGCAAATTCATGCAAAGTCAGGCAAATCAAGTGGGAGATTCGCGTAAGTCCGTGAGGCAGCGCCGCTGATGGAGATGTGCGGGGCCTGGCAAGCCAGCTTGCCGTGGGCATAGATTACATAATAACTTTTCGTTGGAACAGCTTACATATATTTTATCATATGATATATTACTTAATGCCGTTTCTTTCCATGTTGTTTTAAAGTACACTCATAGTAAGACAGTCAAAAGTTAGTAGGTGCTTATACGAAATTTGATACAAAGCAGGTACTCTATTTTCTAGTATTATTGCAATGAGCTTTCTAAGTTACTTATCTTGGAAGAGTATATTTACTTTGTTAGGATGCCTTATGGCTACTTTTTTTTATCCTTTACTTGCCGTGGGCATGGGCCATGTGAAGGTCGAGCACCAGCAGTCTTACTTTGGGCAGCGACTTCCGCAGGCGCCGGCTGGAGAGAATGCGTTGCGGGCATGTTGCGGCTTTGCAGCTTTGCCGAGGTGTCAAGGCGATGTCGTCTTGTCGTGGCTGACTCTAGAGGCTGGCAAAAGCTTGGCGCTAGAAGTTTGTCACACTGGCTCTGTCAGGCAAAGAAACCATTTGATTTGCGAGATGATTCGCTGGTGCGGCTGGTCCTCGCCAAGGCTGCAAGATGGATGCATATTGAAGTTTTTTGCCACGGGCTGGAAAAGAGATGCCCAGCTCCAAATTCATGAGCGAGATTGGGGTGCCCAGCAAGCCGTTTCCCCTAAAGTGAATGTCGCTGGTTGGAGTAATATGAGTTCTCCTTCATCGTTCTTTACAGTTCGTTGCGTAGGTGAGCTCGGAGCCCTGCGTCCACATGCTGCTGATCAACATGCACCACTCGGTGACAGATGGACGTTCCCTGGAGATCCTGAGGCACCGTCGCAAGAGCAAGAGACCCCCCGAGATGGATCATCTTCACGAGGCAGGAGATCTCTACGGCCTACAACCAATTGGTTCTGAAACAGGCACGGAAGACACGGAAGACAAGGAAGACACGGAAGACACGGAAGAGAGAAGCAATCGTTAATCTCGAGGATGTGCAGCTTCCTGCCCTGTCCATGCAGTATGCAGACTTCGCATACTGCCAAAGGCGGTGGATGGCCCAGGCCGAAATTGGGCCGAAGTCGAAGTCGACCGAGTGAAGTTGAGTCGACCGAGCTGAAGCTCAGGGCCGCATGGAGAAGGAGCTGGCCTTCTGGCGCGTGCAGCTGCAAGGGCTCCCAGCCTTACAGGCCCGGAATCGGCCCGACATCGGCCATCGGCCCGACATCGGCCATCGGCCCGACATCGGCCATCGGCCCGACATCGGCCCGGAATCATTGGGCGTTGTTCTCGTGGGCAGCACGAAATCGCGAGGTGCCCACAGATTTCCCTCGCCCAGCGAAACTTCCCTTGGACGGCGGGCAAGCGGGGCACTCGGTCAAAGAAGCTGCATGGTGAAGCATGTCGCAGTGCGCCATGAATTGAGGTCAATATCACTCTGCAGCCAGGGCTGGCCAATCGGCTTAGAAGCCTGGCGCGTGCCAAGGGTGCGCAGCTGAGGAAGTTTGTTCTGGTATGTCTGACCTGTCTCTATCTTTCCGAATCTCTTCCCGCTCTTTCCACTCTTTGCATTCCCACTTACTCTCCGAGCCAGGTGCCACGCTCTTCTCCGTGCTCATGGGTCAAGAGCTTGGAGATTGCCAAACTTCCTAAGGGTCTCGCTTTAAGTGTGCTGCGGGTTGGGGTGAAAAGCTAGCTGCAAAAGAAACGCAATTTTGCCTGGATCCTTTCATCTCTTCATTTTGTTCGTGACAGCAAGCAAGCACCTTGAGCACGCCGAGGCATTTTTGCAGTGGTGCTGAGCCGATATGGTGGTGCACTGGATCTGGCAATTGCTTCTCCGGTGGCAAACCGCCACGGGCCGGACACTTTGAGTCGCCTTCTGCGGCTTCTGGACACCTTGTGCCGGGCTTCTGGGCGTCCGAGGCCTGCGGTGGAGCCGCTGATGGGATACTTCGTGTCGAGCCCCAAGTCTCCAAATCCGCTCATGGGGATGTCACGCGCTGGGTTTGGCAGGAACACGGTGATCTTCCGCATTGCCCTGCAGCCCCCCTGCTCCTTTGAGGACACCGAAACTTCGCTTCTTTTTTTCAGGTCCTTCAAAGTGAGCTCACTTTCCCTTCCAAGCACCTTCCCAGAGTGTGAGATGGGCTCTTGACGCGTTTGGATTTCATAAGCCAAGATGCCAAAAAGGCGTATTTCAGGCGTTGTGCATCATTTTCTATTTCAAGCATAGGATTTGCTGCAGCGGGTGCGGGAGACGGCGGTGGGTGCGTTCCGGCACTCCTCGGTGCCCTACGCCTCGGTGCTGGAGGCCGCGCAGCTGGACGCCGCCGCCGTTCCCGCCATCTTCGTGCTGCAGGAGAAAGATGAAAAGAGAAGGAAATGAGAGAAAGAAAGAGAGAGAAAGAGAGAGAAAGAGAGAGAAAGAAAGAGAGAGAGAGAGAGAGAGAAAAAAAAGAGAATCCGAGAGACTCAGAGAGAGAAAGAGAGAAGGAACTCAGAGAGACAGAGAAGGTGGAAAGACACGGAAACCGGGGGCCTGACTCAGGACAAAGCCGAGAGGTCCTGGAGCATGGAGGACGGGGCGAGAAAGTCAGCGCAGAACCGAGCCGAAGAACCGGGCTGCGAATTTGGAGAGTGACAGACTGAGCGAAGCCGAGTGCCAGGGCCTTCGGGTGGAGCAAATCGAGTTGGAGCGTACCTCTGCCTTGTTCGACATCACCTGCGAGATGCAGGCATGCCCATGCCAGCCCATGCCAGCCCATGCCAGCCCATGCACCCAAGCAGGGCGAATTGTCAAGGGACGTCAAGGGACGTCAAGGGACTGAAGCTTCCAAATCCAGGAAATGCCTGGCACAGCTGGAGGCCTACAAGGCCTTATCGCGAGCCTGGCCAGATTCTCCCGGCCTGCGCATCCAAGCGCTAGTTGCACACACACACACACACCCCACACAAACTGTGCCATGAAGCCAACACTCATCAGACACAAGCTTTGCGCCTTTGGGCCAGGTGTACAACAAGCACCTCTGGACGTCTGCGCGGGCTGCCCGTTTTGCGGAGAGCTTCCAGGCCGCTCGCTTTCGCGTTCGGGAGTCTCGATTTCTTCGATTTCTTGGATTTCTTCGATTTCTTCGAAGTCTTCGGTTCTTCGGTCTCTGTCTAAATCGGTGAGGCGCTGGCCGCGGCCGCGGCGGAGCAGCCGCAGGCGGATCTCTTGGCCTTACCGGCCCGGCGCTCAGCGCTCTCAGCGCTCTCAGCGCTCTCAGCGCTCTCGCAAGTCGAGTCGAGTCGAGGTCACCTCCACCAGCGAACGCACCCACTTGTTGGAGTGGGGCGCTCATGGCGTGGCCTTCCCTCAGCCGACCCCCCTGGTCAAGGCGGGCTCTCTCAGAATAGAGAAGGCACTCCCAAAAGCGCATCTCCGAGGACAGTTGAAGTTTCCATTAGATTTTCAAGTTACTAACTGTTTGCAGCTCTGTCCACTTTGGGAGGCCCTACAGCTGCAGCTCCTCCAATGCCCGCAGCGGTTGGCCCTGGTTGTGGCTGTGGGGCTTCCCGGATGCGCGAGACCGTGTGCTTGCCCAAGCTGAGTTGTTTGTTCAAAAGTCTTTAAGAAACTATCCACAACTAGTTTCTTAAGCGTGCATCATTGGCTACTTAGATGGGGTCTCTTTAGCCTGATTTGGGGCGGGGAACATTCAGGTCAAATTCGAGCTATTTCCATGGACTTTTATTGGAGCTTCATTGGAACTTCATTGGAACTTCATGGGAACTTCGTTGGAACTTCATTGGAATGTGATTGGAATGTCATAAAAACTTCACTTCAAGTTGACACTCAGAGGGCGAGTTGTCCTGGAATGTAGCTGGACATTCATTCATTCATACATACATACATACGTACGTACATACAAACACGTACATACATCCATCCATACATGAAGTTATACTATGTCATGTCACGTTTTGTGTATGAGAAACGTGGTCAGGTTATGCATGTTGCCCACCCCAACCCCAGATGATGCCGGTGATGCCAGCTTTCTGGGCCCCAGCGGGCCCCAACCCAGAAGGCTGACATGGGCTGACATGGGGTCGCGCGCGGGCGCGCGCGCGCGCCAGGGGCCCCAGAAAGAGCAGCCCAAAAAGAGCAGCCCGCAAGCCAGCCCGGAAACGCAAATGCAACACCGTAAATAGCAGCGTTTTGTGGCTGGGGTCGCGCACGCGCGCGCCAGAAGGCCCGAAAACCAACGGGAAAAAACAAGGGCCGCGCAGCACGCGAGCCAGCCACAGCAAAAGCAAAACAGACAGAACAACAGCCCACAACTCAGCGCAGCAGTTTTTGACAGTATTTACAGCGTTTTGTAGAGCGAGGACCCAGCGTCGCCGGCATGCCCGGCAGCGCTTGGCGCGAAAATGCGCGAAAATGAGCCTCGCTTATATCCCTCCGACACCTTCTAAAAAACCGTGCTTCATGGGTTGAGAGGCTTTTTGGAAGGAAGTCTTGATGATGCAGACCAAGCCCCGGTGAAGCATCGCCCAGGCCCAACCCCAGACCCTGATGATGTCAGCCACATGGCCTAAACCCTGCATATACGCGATGTTTTGCGTCCCACAAGCAAGCAAAACCGCAAGCCCGAGCTGGTGATGCAGAGGTGCCGGATTTAGGCAGCGCATCACGACCAAGTGGCGAGGGTCGGCGGCACCAGGGTGCAGCCCCTATAGCTAAAGCTAGCAGGCTAATAGCTAAAGCTAGCAGGCTAATTGCCTACATGTACCCAGAAGGCGTAGCCGGATTTAAGGGCCCTGTGCCGACCCTTGCCAGATGCCGTGCCCGGAATTTGGAGCCAAAGACACGGCCAGCCCCCGGATCTGCTTGCCGGGTGTTGTAGAAATCCGGGACGTGGCAAATAGTGCGTGGAAAGCAGGCCAGTTTCCCGAAATCCGGGGCGCGGCCGGCGTCCGGATTTGCCCGAAATCCGGAGTTTGAGCGGCCGCCCGCGCCCCGGATGTTGTATAAATCCGGGAGGTGGCAGCGGAGGCCCGGTTCCCGGGCGTGGGCCTCCGAGCCGAAAAGCGCCGACCAGCCAAAGTTCCCTTGGCCTTTCACCAAGTGCCCCTTCCAAGATTTCTGGCTCCCATCCAAGAACTTGGATTTGGCTCCCTTTCCTTTGGAGGACTTGCCCTTACTATGGTCCTTGCCTTTCGATTTTCCTCCACCACCACGCCTGCGGCAAAACTCGTCTACTTCCCTCACCCAGAAGCAATCATCATCTGCACATCACATCTTCCCCCATCATGAAGTCATAGAACTCATCCAACTCCTCCTTGGAGAGAGTGTGATGGTGGAGGGTGAGGAGATCGATGCCACCACCATCAAAAGAGATGTGCGCTAGATCATCATCATGCGCTTCCACTGTTTTTCCGATGATTCCTCTATGATCCACTCCGTGTCCTCCTTAGACTGCCTCTTTTGGTACTTCAGCTCGCCCGTCTTAAAGTGGAGGGCCACCACTTTGTCGAGGTCCAACAAGCTGCCGGTCAATCGCCTCGTAGGAGAGCACCCCCAGCATGTGGTCCGACCTCGAACTCCACCGCTGGCTTGGTCTTGTAGCGGAATTGGTTTGGCTGCCCGCATCTCGTTGCGGTCCCCTCTCCCCAACATGGCTCGCTCAACTTCCTTTTCTTCAGGCTCCTGAAGGCGTCGAGCAAGTTCTCCAGGCGTCGAGCAAGTTCTCCAGCCTGATTACCGCCAGGACCGATGTGGCTAGGGTGTAGCCGTTGGCCTTGTCCGCAAACAAATCACCCGACGGCCTTGTGTTGGGTGAGAATTTGTCTTGCACGCAGGCCGTTTCAGGCCAAAGGCCATAGAGAGTGGAGGGTGGGGAAAACAACCAGGAACATCCGAGGCTTGAACCACGATCAAGTCATTGACTGGCCCCGAGTAACAAGTTCAGACTGGTCCAAGTACAGTGCACACAGTGGGAGTTAACAGCACTTGGCACCATGACATCCTAATCCGGGCTGAAGATGGCCCCTTCTTCAGTGGGTCACTCAAGGAGCATGAGGTGCACCTTGTGGCTGAGAGGTCAGAGGCCCAAAGGCCTTCCGATGCCAGTTCTTCATCTCGTCCACCAGATCATCATTGTCGTCGCCACCAAAGGTTGGTCGTCCACCGGTCCAATCCCCCGTGAGCCTTCAGCACCCGTGAGTTGCACCGCCCGGGATGTGGGGAGCCATCTGGATTGCTTGACCCCAAACTAAAATTTAAACACCTCCTGATCCTTTGCCGTCCGGGCTCAAGGACTGCAGCGTTGCGTTTTGGGCTAGGACTGGGAGCACTGTGTCCACACAGTAGGCAACGAATCTTGTGGTCCTTCTCAAAGCGAGCCCCGCAACGTGGTGTCCCACACATGTCGGGCGCCTGCTGAGCCTCCGTCGCCTCTCTGGAAGGGGTTCCAAAACCCCAGCCTTGCCTAGCCAGGGCACTCTGCAACTTGGCGGACTGAGTCCTTTGCCGCAAATGACGCCCCACTCCTCAATGTTCACACCGTCGCTTTTTCAGGCTTGGCCGAACTTGGTCAAGACCGACTGCGGGAGGCATCTCAGAATGCCCGCCGTATCACTGTGGGAAAGAAGTCCGGTCACCAGGCGGTACAGCCCCTTCTTTGCGTCATGGGCCTGCATTACACACATGTGCGTATCCTGAAGGTCCAGCTCCGCAAGGGTGGGATCCTGCAAAGGATCGGGATCTGCGCCGGCACCTTTGCCCGCACTCCGCCCCATCCCAATTAGAGCAAATCAGCACCTCCTCCTTCGAGGGTGTACCATTTCTGGGCCACCTCCGCCGAGAGCTCCAGGCCCATACCAACGGACCACTGCCGGCCACCATGCATGCGCCTGCGAGAAGAGGTCCAACATGCTCGCCGTCAATGACCAGCTTGTCTTCCTGCTCCCCCACCTTCTTCTGGATCCAGTTCCGCTGGCGCACAATAGGCATTGTCCTCGACGTAGAGCCACTTGTCCATGCCGAAGAGGCTCTTCTCAAATCCTGTGTTGCCCATCCCCGGGATCAGCCATGAGTCCCCTGAAGCGGACACAGCGCTAGAAGCAGCCGTCCTAACTTCAGGTTTTTTGTGTGGGGTTGACCGGCGGGTCAAGCAGCAGGTCATCCAGGCTTGGGTCCTCAGCGAGGGATACAGCGCTGGAAGCAGCCGTCCCTACCCCAAGGCCCCAAGGTCAGCTGCTGTCTCCTCCGCATCCACATCCATTGCCGCCAGTCCAGAAACAAGCTTCTCCTGCACGGCTTCCGCTTGTGCCTCACGACGGGCGTCATGCTTGGCATCAGCTGCCATGTCCATAGCTTGTTCCATAGCCGAGAAAAAACCACCAGGAAGATCCGAGGCTTGAACCACGATCAAGTCATTGACTTAAAATGGCCCCGAGTAACAAGTTCAGACTGGTTGGAGTACAGTGCAGGCAGTGGGAGTTGACAGCACTTGGCACCATGACATCCTAGTTAACCCAAAAGTGGTTGTTTGTATGTATGTATGTAGGTATGTGTGTATGTCTCATGAGATGCAGAGGATTCGTTGTCATGATTGTCATGATAACTGCTGCTGATGCTAGGGATGCAAAGTAATAACGCTAGCTGCTGGTGATGCTGAGGATGCGTGGTGCTTTTGAGGATGCGTATCATGATGATGATGATGATGATGAACACGATGAGCAACATGATGATAAACATGATGATGAAAATGATGATGATGATGAAATTGATGATGAAAATGATGACGCTGTTCCTGATGATCATGATGATGATGATGATGAACATGAAAATGATGATGAACATGATGTTCATTAACAACGCATCCTCTGATGATGATGAACATGATGATGATGATGAACATGATAATGTGAACATGATGTTGACAATGATGATGACGACGATGATGATGAACATGATGATGATGAACGCCACCATCATCAATTTCATCATCATCATCAAAACCGCGGCGCTCTTCTTTTTCATACACAAGGCAAAAATAGTGTTTTAGTTTCGCAGGCGACCACTGGCCAGCTTCTTTCCAGTGATACACCCAGTGCGTCGCGTCCATTTGGGCGCTGCGTTCAAGGGAAAGCGGGGAGACCGCCCTCATTTTTGGAGTTGCATATCCCATTTGGAGAGAAACGCCATGACTACCTTAGGGGGTTAGGGTCAGCACGGGCTTCCTTGCCTCAGCCCAAGTAAACGTTCACCAAGGAATCCGATCCTTGGGACATCCCCGATTGAGTCCATCCAGGGCGACATCAAATAGAACGCAGACCTGTGTAACAATCATTAAGGCGTCTTGAACGAAAGGGTCCCAGTCTTCATTATTTCCGTTGGGGGGGTCCTTTTTGAACAACACCCTAAGGGGCTACAGGATTACAAGCGTTCTCCTACGATCGTCAATTAGTTCGGTCTTCGCGTACCATTCAAGTTGTTGGCCCTTTAAAGGGAAACACACAGGCTGCTGCAGGAGGTTGGTGGCGTAAAGGTCTTTAGACA